AAAAAATACTTTTTAGGAACAAAATTCATTTTTGCCAAAATGAACAGTTATTATCCCTTTAACTGCAAAGTTAAGTTGCAAATATTGCACAACAGGTAGTATCAATAAAAGTGAACTGTTACATGCCCTTGGGAGTTATAATTTTTTTAATCTGACAAACTGTAAAGGTATGAGTTTATTTCCATTTTGACACTTTATTACACAATACACAATAACAGGTGTACCATCAGTTTTATATAATCAACTAACAATATTGTTAAAATGCAGAAAATGTCAAAAGAACAACTTTTCATGTCTAATTAGTTAAAAAATGAGACTGTTAACATGTCTGAGAATTAAATTTGAGGGAAAAACACTTACATACAAATAAAGGCATTACTTCACCAAAACTTAACTGATCAAGTTTATTTTCAAAACTTAATCTGTATTTTAGCAACATTGATCACTCCGTTGAATTTCAAGACAATTGGCCAATCAAGTTTATTTTCAAAACTTAATCTGTATTTTAGTAACATTGATCATTCCTGTGAATTTCAAGACAATTGGCCAATCAATTTTCTTAAAAATGTGTTATGGGTGTTGCATATATGCTGAAAAAAAAGTGAAAAAACAGCATAACTTCCATAAAAATGGCCTGATCATGCCAATTTTCGAACTTCACCTGCGTATTATAGATATTCATCAGATATATAAGTTTCAATCCAAAAGGAAAAACGGTTTTTCACTTATCGTGTTATCGGTGTTGCATAAAATAAATGCTGAAAAAAGAGAAAAAAACAGCATAACTTTTACAAAAATGGCCCGATCATGCTGATTTTCGACTTGACCTGCATATTATGAATATTCATCCGTTACGCAGGTTTCAAGCCAAAAGGTAAAACGAATTTTCACTTATCGCGTTATCTGTGTTGCATATATGCTGAAAAAGTGAAAAAAACAGCTCAACTTCCATAAAAATGGTCTGATCATGTTGGTTTTCGTACTTGACCTGCACATTATGAATGTTCATCAGTTCTGTAAGTTTCAAGCCAAAAGGTAAAATGGTTTTCCACTTAGCGTGTTAGCTGTAAAAGTGCACGGCGACGGCGACGACAGACGCAGGTAACAGCTATATGTACAGACACAGACACAAAACAACACAAAGATATATAGTACATACTACTATAGCAACGCAAATTACTCATCCAAAACTATAACATAACATCATTAACAAAATACAAACAAACAAATAACGTTACATTATATAACCAAACTACCTTCTTTAATTTCTTCATTAAAATACAAACCATCCTCCACCCAAAGAGCAACAGCCACACCAACTAACGTTAGGACAATCTATGTACTGATCACAATGGAATGCAATGCGTTGCTAAACTCACCTTCTTTACCTTCCTCAATAAGTTGAAACAGCATTAATGCCCCCTAAAACTAAACATTATCCTTAATAAGAATTATTCGTGTGCATTTCAAAAGCCTAGGTACATGTACTACCTACGCCCTCTTCCACCTCTCCAGCTGCTCTAGTTTTCAAGTCGCACTTTATCACTTAATAACTGCAAATTGAACGTCCCAATGGCCAAAACGAAGCAAACGGATGATATATCCTGCTCACATTTACCCCCTGAAACACCTGCCACGTCTCAATAAATGGTTTCCACGCCAAAATCGTCCAATTTGCGTGTTTGACCGACGACAAAGATGGCTGCCCAGCAGGCATAATGACGTTGGATCAACGTTGAAAACAGGCTGCGACGTTGAATCGCCGTTGATCTACCTAAATTCAACGTCAAATCAATGTTGATCCAGCCACGTCAAAACGCCGTCATAATGAGACTTTGACTCAACGTTGTATTTTGGTCGTTGACTCAACGTTGTTGTTAGGTGGTCATGATGCAAGACATGGATCGTAATTTAAGATATTAATTATTGAAAACGTGATACTATGTTTATCAATACTGTAACGAACTTTATCAAAATATTAAAAACGGTGCTTTAAAGTAAAAGTGACAGTTGTTTTGTGTCTTTAGTGAACTAGTGAATTTTCTTAACTTGTTATTTAGAAATACATTCCAATAAACTTCCTTGCAAGGTCAGCTAACACAAGGATGAATAAGTCGCTGTAAGTGTGATGGAGTGATGTTAACGTTGTTGACAGTTCACGGTACCCTGCTGTAGATATATAGACAGGTTGAGGTGACCTTGACTTTCTTATATACCGGTATATATATATATATATATATATATATATATATATAGATATATATATATATATATATATCAAACGCGTCCTAGCACTGCTAAACACATCCAGTCTAAAAGCATGTAACATGCTAAGGAGCGAAATGTGCTAAATGCGTTGAAAAAAAGAGACAAAACAGGCACTTAGATGTTTTTACAGAGTACGTTATAATTGTGTACTTGTTATAATTGTTATAACTTGTTATAATTGTGTAATTGTGTACACAAGCCATATAACGGGGCACCCTGCCCGCACAACCATATACTGCCTTCCTGAGCCAAAATAGAGTGAAACGATCAATAAACCTTGGAAATTCTTTGCAAGGTAATAAGGTACAGGGATGAAAATGTCGCTTGGTCTCCTCTTCGAGTGGATAAGTACCTTAGACGCCGACGGAGGGGCAGGCGCCAATCTTTTTTTCCTAGGAATTCTCTTAAATCCAGAACGTGATAGATTACATTGATACAACAATCCACGTAGAATATACAGCTATTCGCACTGTCAACACACAGGTCCCCCGGCGCCCTACATGTAGTTTGAGTCCTACTACAATGAATTTTAATAAATAGATGTCAACCCTTGCAGCACAAGCAGACCTCCTCAACACGTACACGTGCATACCTAGGTCAAACTACCTACCAGTATTGCAATACAAATAACACATTCTCATGGGGCTAATTTACCGGTATTGAGCAAATCGTATTTCGTTTCCCCGTTCTAATACACGATGTCAACGCATGTGAATGTTAACGTCCCAGAACAGTGGCGACCTCAATTGAGAGAATATGTTACTAAACAGTCGACTAAATGCGGTTGTCGTCGCCAAAAATCTGACTACTGTAGTTGTACATCTGTTATGTTGAGATCTAAATACTAGTTGTTACATGCAACAAAACCAGTGTTTTGAAAACATAATCGATGTTGCCTCTTCTATTATGTTGACGGAGGTTCGTACGAAGCAAATTTAAAAAAGAGAACGAGCGTGTGTGTTTGTTGGATAACCAACCAGTCAGGAAAAAGCTATATTGGGTGAGTGCCAGTTGATTTAAAGCTGTATATGAAGTCAATTATTTGCCACAAAACCAACCGAATGCCAGCATATAGTTTCAAATAGTATAACCAATTTTTATCTTAAAAGAGAATTACCAAAGGACATTGCTTAATATTACCCGAAAATGATATTTGAACGGATTTTCTGCTAGCTTTTTGTGCTGTATATACATGAAAAGTAGGTCACATAAGTGGATTAAATTTCTGACCAAAAATTTTAAGAAGGGGGCAGCCTAAAGTCCTTTTGTAGCTGATCCAGTGATTTATTCAGTTTATCCCTAGGCATGTCGACTTTATTTGAGTGTAAAAATAAAACTAGTAGAAGTGGTTTATATGAGTTACTGGGAATCCGCGCTCCACTGATGCTCGGTTCATATGTACCTTAATTTTAATCTTAAATTTTAATGTTGAATTCTAAATACTAGTTGTTACATGCAACAAAACCAGTGTTCTGAAAACATGATCTTCTACATGTATATATTATGTTGACGGAGGTTTGTATGAAGCAAATTGAAAAAAAAGGAGCAAGCGCACGCGTGTTTGTTGGGGGAGGATAACCAACCATCCAAGAAAAAGCTATGTAGTGTGAGTTCCAGTAATTTAATCTTCCTACTGACCTCCCATTCTCCGCCTTCTATGGTGATAGACACAAATGACCCATTTTGTTTGTTTTAACGATATAGTCTAACGCCATGAGGTCAAGGTGACGGTTCTGCTCTAATCTGTTTACCCAAGTTAACAGGGCTGCCCTATCGACTGGGAGATTTACGTGTAAAGTAAGTTGTATTTTATACTGTATTTATTCTATCACGTTAAATAGTTGGCTAATTTCAGTTCTGGTGACAGTCCATACATGTACCCGCGTGCTCTAAATAACAAAATCTTCAGCATATCTAGTTACCGGGATATACCATGTACAATGTACTAGTCAAACTCTTCACAGGGCCGTAGCCAGCAATTTCAAAAGGTGGGTTCTTTATCTGAAAAAGTGGAATTTTTGCCATAAAAACTCCATGTACCTAGATCAAATTTTACCCAGAGTGGACCTTTTCCCAGCAAAAGGGGCGGTTCTTTCGAACNCATGTATATGACACCTTTCTGTCTTATAACACAATGATATAAAGCAGCAGTGGAGTGTCTTCCTCATGCTACAAGTCTATAGACCAGCTGGTACATGTATATGACACCTTTCTGTCTTATAACACAATGATATAAAGCAGCAGTGGAGTGTCTTCCTCATGCTACAAGTCTATAGACCAGCTGGTACATGTATATGACACCTTTCTGTATTATAAATCAATGATATAAAGTAGCAGTGGGGTGTCTTCCTCATGCCACAAGTCTATAGACCAGCTGGTACATGTATATGACACCTTTCTGTATTATAACACAATGATATAAAGTAGCAGTGGGGTGTCTTCCTCATGCTACAAGTCTATAGACCAGCTGGTATATGACACTTTGCTTTCTCATATCACAACGGTATAAAACAGCAGTGGGGTGTCCTCCTCATGCTGTTGGTCCAGGCATACATCTGGGATGCCATGACATCAGAGCCTCCATATACTAGTACACCATCATCAACAATATTTTCTGATCTGTATTTTTGTTGTAATTAATATTTTATTGCATATTTCAATTCATGTGAAATCAGAGTCAGCTATGAGTGCAGGTTTAAGTTTCGCACACAGACCACTTACCCACCGCTTAGATGCCCGGATATTCCCCGACTACCTGGATGAGAGAGTGGCTGAGCACCCTGACCGAGAGGCGATCGTCTTCTACACAGGACCAGGAAAGAGGGCAGCACTTTCTTACAGACAGGTACACAGACGATCTCTTCAGTGTGCGGCAGGTAGGACACACAATTGTAGCTTAAAACACTAGAAACGCGCCCAGAGAACGCAGACATCCGCCACAATAAATCATTAACTAATAATTAACCGTAAAGTAATTAATGGTTCAACAAAATCTTATAATGTAATGTAGTAATGTATTATGATTTATGAATAAATGTTTCAGGTCTCTTAGAACTGGGTCTGGTGCTGGGAGATCGTGTCGTTATCACTGCCCCAAACTGTTTTTTACAAGTGTATAGCAGGGTGTGTCTTTCTGTTTCAGGTCTCTTAGAACTGGGTCTGGTGCTGGGAGATCGTGTCGTTATCACTGCCCCAAACTGTCTCGAGTACCTGGACGTACTGCTAGGGTGCTCCAGAGTGGGCGTCTGTCTTTCCATATAAAGTCTGGCTCGACTCCCGAGGAACTAATGACCTTGGTGGACAAGTACAAGGTCAAGGTCGTTATCGTCCATTCAGGTGGAGACACCAGCTTTGCCACCAGCGTCGTGGGCAAGTGCAATGACTTCAATCATCCCATGGAGCGTGTGAAAGTAGTATGTGTTGATTTCCATGAGGATACCTCTTTTTGTACCACGTATTCCACCATGCTCCACAAGGACCTGTCAGAGACACAGACTGCCGCCGTCTTCGCCGCCCAACAAAAGGTTCAGATGGAGGACCCTTTACTTGCCTTGTTAACATCTGGTAGCACAGGGCCGCCCAAAGCCTGCCTTTTCAATCACTTCCAGTTCATCCGAGTGTCCCTAAACAACATGGCGGCGGGATCGGTTCCTGACGGGGCTCGCTTTTTCAATGATCGTCCGTTTTCCTGGAAGGTGGGCGTGGCTGCCGGGCTGAACTTTATCCCTGTCCGAGGAATCACCCTGGTCTCCCAGCCCAGTGCCGTGTCCGTGACTAGAGGTGATCTTGAAACTTCCTTCCGGATCATGCGCACTGAGAGATGCACGCACGCGGTGATTATGCCGTACATGCTGTATGACATCAGCAAGGCAAAGCCGTCCACAGGGCCGGAACTACCGCCATTGCTGTACGGCCTCACCACCGGGCAGGTTACTCAAACAGATGTTATAAAAAGCTGCGTGGAGAAATACCCGGGTCTAATTATTCTAAATATTTATGGAGCAACTGAGATCGACGGGTGGCCTTCAGAAGAGTACGCGGCAGACAACACAGAGAGTGGCGCCCTCGGGTGGTTTAAAATCCAGGAGGGGGTCGCGGTCAAGGTTGTCGACGACGAAGGCCGGATGGTACCCAGGGGGGAGCGAGGGGAGCTTTACGTTCGTGGACCAGCGGTCTTTAAGGGGTATCTGGATGACGAAAACCTCACGGCTAACGCTCTCACGCCATTGAGGTGGTTTAAAACCGGAGACCTTGCCGTTATGAACGACCTTGACAACATCCGGATACTGGGTAGGAAATCGTTTGCAATAAAAAGGGCAACCGTGTATGTGAATCCGGCGGATGTGGAGAGCGTTCTCTCAGAGAATCCTCAAGTTTCTCAGGTGGCAGTTGTTGGGGTCCCTGACCCCAGATTGCACGAGGAACTCTGCGCGTGTATTATTCCTAGCAACGACCCGGAAACGGAAAGTGAAGAGGTCATACTGAAGGAGATTCGTGATTGGTGTAGAAAGCAGTTCCTTCCCGGCCCAGACGGACTTACTCTGGCTCCGTGATATTTTCTTCTGTTCTCGGCGTTTCCATTGTCACATTCTGGAAAAACGCAGCAACAAGAACTAAGAAAATTGGCCATTGAGAAACTAGGTTTATCATGACCTGAACTCCAAATTAAAGACATGTTTTACGCAAAGCCAAATGATCATTTAAAAAGTAGTATTATCGTCATGAGCTCAAGCATGCTTTTTGGATACATTGATATGTTAATTATTCCTCATCCTTTTAGATACATTTTTGTGCTAATTATCAGTTGTTTGTTGCACGAGGCATTTTATTTCCATAAAGTACACTGAATTATTCAATTATTTAGCTAGTCCCTGCTGAAGTAATTTAAATAGTTTAGCCGAAAGGCTAAACAAGTCTAAATATAAAGACTCTATTTACCAATAGTATTTAAAATCGATAGAATAGGCCTAATATATATCTATTTTTTAAAACATTTTGATCGGTCCAACGAAGTCCTGTGTTATTTGTCGTGTGTTCCTGATGTCACGCTCACATTGTTAGACATTACACTGGATTTTCCCAATGACAGTTGTGCCCTGGTTTGATATTACATGCCTTGTGTACGGAGGGATTTTGGATTGATTCTATTTTGAGTGTCGATTATATTGAGCCAGAAGAGAGGGGAGACAGTCGCAAAAACGTTTGAAGGTATAAAAGAGTTTTGGTTTTAAGGGGTATTCAACAGTTATAAAGACCTACATTTTGAAATACCCCGTCCCCTGTTTCTGTTGTATGAAGTACTTATCCTAATATTAATACAATTAAGATAACATTAAAAAGTAAAATTCACTTTTTTTGTCGTTTTATTCACCAAGCAAAATGCTTCTGCATACAGGAAGGCCAAACGTATATTGTCAGTATATATGATAATTTTATAAAATCAGTTAAAATACATATACTACCTTATCGCTGATATTTTCAACTTTACACAGGATCACGGCACTTCATTGGCCACAAACTGATGTATTTATTAATCTTCTTCTTATATTTAGACAGTTATGTGAGCTTTCCTTTTTAATAAGATTTAATTATGCTGAGGCATTGTGTCTATAGTGTTACTATAATTCGGGTGTACCTATTATTGCCATTTGTGTTAAAAATTTAAATTACTAATAAATATACAAAAACGTACTGTTGGACTGGAAAACATGTTCTACCGCTAGGAACCGTGAATATAAGTAATGATGTATGGCACGTGCACGTGATTTCATCAGACTTTTCTCCCACAGACGCCCTAAAACTGCACGTGTTATAATGATTTTTTCATTTACCGCTTTGTATTTTTTTTAATTTTTAAAGGCTCCTTTCAAGAAAAGAATAAATTGTCTTACAGCAAACAGCAAGATACTTAGATTCCGATATCAAAATAGTGCAATAAGATATTATTTCAATGACTACGAACATTTGGGGAGAAAGTCCACTTTTCGTGAACTGGAAACCAGCCTCCTACATGTAGCCTCAGTTAAGCCAGGTGGGTCTCTTCCTTCCTGTAGATATCTCAGTATATCAACAGGGTTGGTATTTCATCCAGACACCTCACCCATCAGACTGTGTGGACACGTCTGCCAAACACACGATAATCACCGATAGTCGCTAAGAGATTATAATCATTGTACGGACTTGAATTGTGTGGGGCTTGCGTTTTTGTCAGGACTGTAAGACCACCGAAAACTAAGAATTTTAATGTAACTCAAAATAATGCGAATATTTCTATTCATCTACATGTATGTATGTATGCTGTGTGAACCTAGCTGTCACACGCAATGCTTTAGCCTCCGGGGGGGCAGGGGGTGCAGCTGCCCCCCCCTGGATTTGAGGTGGAAAAAAATAATCGCAAAGGTAAAAATAAATAATTGCAAAGTTGGTATCAATTCTGCGAGAAAATGCACTCATGGCCACTAGACAATCATTCAACAATCTGTTTACAAAGGCGTACTGTTTTTAGCCAGTACTGTTTTAAGACACCCCCTCCCATCCCACCCCCCTCGGAGGCTTTGCCCCCTCGTGTCCGCTTACTGCCCCCCTGGCATTTTGCTCAGGCTACGGCCCTGACACGTGACTCTATCTCTCGTTCTATTTAATTCTTATTGAATTATTTGTTAAATTGTTTGTGAGATTCAATTATAAAAATGTATTCCATTTCTCTTAAAACAGCTAGAGTATCTATCTGAAAAAAAAACGACTCCGAGAAAGTTGAGACATCAGTTTTATTGATAAAGAAAAACAAATTTAAATACACAGTACTTACACAAAATCACCTTATTATGTCCAAACACAGCAAAATATAACTGTGATGTAATCATTTCAAAAAGTCGACTTCAGAATCCACTATCATAGCCACACCGCTGATACGAACGTGGTGACGATAAATGACATAATAAATAAAACAAGTCAGAGGCTGGATGATGCTAATCATTAGTCTGAAAAGTATGAATTCCTAAATAAAAGTATGACTTCCTAAATAAGAGATGTTTTAATAATTTACAAGTATGCATAAAATCAATATTTTCATATCGTCACCCTTATCAGTATCAGACCGCCCCTACGTCATCCATGTCGATGTCTCAGACGAGAGAGGATTTAAAAGTTTAAAACTTTCCTAAATAAAGTACACCTGATCAGAGTATACACAATCTGTCATATTAAGGGGCTTTGCATTTTTTTACGATTCTTTCGATTTTTACATTTTGCCCTGTCTTGAATATCTTCTGATATCCTAGAATCTGTTAGTAAAATTTGAATAAAATGAGGCAAAAATACACCTAGCAATGAAATAACTTAGTTATGCCATCTTTGGTGAAATTACAGTTGTACGAATTCAAATCTTTGTTTGTAATCCTGGTTTTGTTATAATTGTAGGTAGATTCAGTCATGTGAAAAGCAAAAAAAAAAATAATTTATGTGTACATACAGATTTGGTCTTTATCTATGCCGAATCAAGCCATCAAGGAAAATAGGTTTCGTCTTAATATTTCTGCACCCCCATCCTACATTCAGATCCAGTGTACATGTACATATATTAGTATAATAAATTTCCTCTCATGTTTCAATGTGTTTACACCTGTTTAAAAAGTAACCCGTTTCTGAAAAATAACATCAGTCACCGTATCACGTGTTTGCCTCTGTTACAAAACTGTTTCTATTGTCCAGTCAGGAGTTTTCCGTCCTTTGATCCTTTTGATGAAGGGTCGATCGATGTGCAATATTTAGTGTAGCATCAAGTTCTCCTTGGACTCACGGTTTTGTATCTACAAAAACTATACACATCTGAAATTCAGGTTCAATATGTGATATTTATTTACAGATATGATTATATGCAGATCAGGTATGTTAACAGTATCTTTAAGACGCGATTGTCTTTCATATTAATGTCGAAGTGTCATACTTCATCACAGACCAGGTGTAAATAACACCATAGATAGTTACTTATATTTGTATGTCTTGATCCATCCGTCCTGTTGAGCTACCACGAGGTGCCCTTCCTGGTTGATACACACTGCCTGGGGTCTCCACAGTCCATCCTTGTCTGTCAGCACATATCGCATGAACTGGCCAGCAGGAGACACCTGGTGGATGTTGTCAGCATAGAAGTCGCAGATAAATATGGTTCCATCTTCATCCACACAGACACCGTGTGAACACTTCATGACGCCCTCCCAACCGTACGTGTACCGTAGCTGACCCTCAGGTGTGTAGACACGTATACAGCGGTCATTGGGATCTGATACTATGACGTCACCACTGGGTGTGGTTGTTATGCACTTGGTATATCGTGCTGGTTTCGATGAGGTGTCAGTGAATACCCTGAGCTGTGTACCGTCAGTACGGTATACCATTACCTTACCACATGTGGCTGTACTAGCATCCATCACGACCAGATGACCTTCGTGGTTCACTGTAATACGACCAGGTTTACTGCATTTGAACGCTGATTTCACAACACCGTGTTTAGTATATATCCACACTTCCTGTGTACTGCCGTCCCATACAGTAGCTGCTATTGTACCGTCACGTAGTACTGTCAGTCCTAACAGCCCCGTAACCTTGATCTCCTTCTTGATGTCTCCTGTGGAGGAACATATGATGATACGACACTTGGTTTCATCATTACACCCTGTCCCTACCACGACGTCACCACCAGGCATGCTGTCCACAGCTGTGGGGAACTCCAGTGGATCCTTGGAACACTGCAGTTGGTGTTGTGTGATCAATGTCGGTGTGATCTCTCCTATAACCACCGTACCCATTGCCTGCTGTATGGCTGTTTCTGTCCAAGTGATGGTCTGAAATCTTAGCACAGGCACAGGAGAAGTGGGGGAAAGCGTATTCAACATTTCCTTTAGTGAAGTCTCCCATTCAGCGTGATTTTTAACTACACTTGAGACGGAAGCGCCATTCACCTTATCTTCATAGGCTTTCAGTTGTTTTTCGAGGGTTTCTATTGTTTTGGTTATTTGTAGCTGAAGTTTTATATCCAAATATGCTTTGTCCACTTTTTCTTTGGCTTCTTCAGCACCGGTTTTCACCAGCTTGTAAAGTTCGTCTTCTCGAGTCTCAATAGCTTGTTTAGCTACCAGCCTTTGCTCGTCCAAGTCGGCTAGTCGTTTCTGTTCTTCTTTTTGTATTGAAGGTTTGTTGAGAGTTATATCTTTGATTTCCTTAATAATCCCGTTCACCTTACATTTTAACTCCTCGGCCGCTGTTGTTGCGTCTTTCCAAGCGTCAGCGTGTCCTTTGTGTATGTCCAATATACATCGCTCACAGATCAGGACGTCACATTGGGGACAGTAGGATTTAAGATCAAGGCACGGGTGTACCTGACATTTGTCTGTGACGGCTGCTGTTATTTCCTTAATTATGTGATCTTTCGATACCCTTGTCCTCTTATGACAGCCGGCACACGTAGAACACATGTCTTGGTAACAGTCCAAACACACGATGGTGGCAGGGGATTTACTGGCTTCTGGACACACCTCACACAAACCTAGAATTTGAATAAATAATAAGTTTAGAAATGCTTGCAAATCTTATACGTTAGCAAAAAACAAAACGGATATCTCAATAAATTTGCTACATGATTAGAACACATTAAACGTTGTTTTGACACTGGTATATGATATTTATTGCTAAATGAAACGAATGACCTTGTTTTAAACGGAACAGGAAAAGGGACACGTGTTACATGCACTGTCAGGAAAGTCAACGTTAACACTCATTTTTCGTACAGTATGTTGAAATTGAAAAATCGTTAAGGTCTATACCATTTCTCAAATTACACTGAAACTTCAATGATAGTTTGGGGAAAGCTTGGAATGGAAAATCTATTGCAGTATGTCCCGTAGCCAGCAATTTCAAAACGGGGGTTCTTTTTCTTAAAAGTGGACTTTTTACAAGGAAATTTTTGTGTACCTGTATCAAATTTTACCCGGAATGGACCTTATCCTTACAAAATTGGTGGTTCTTTCGAACCTCCCCCCCCCCCCCCATGGCTACGGGCCTGCATTGTTAGCATTATTTAGCAAGCTATGACTGAATCTGCATTATACATATATACATGTTAATTATGAACGATTTGAATATTTCATTCCTAATGGTACGCACGTAAACGCATCAATGAATAGAAACTTACTTTGTAATTGAAATACACAATTTTAGGCTATTTACCTGTTCCATCAGGACTGTCACTTTGTCTTAAAACATTGGCCAGGTAGTCTTGTCTATATTCTTCTAAAAGTTTGAGGAAACAATCAAATGCACCCTGATGTGAAGAGTTCATCACGGCATCTAGCAGATGTTTTATGGCGTCTTTTGTCGCTGCTTTACTCTCCACAATCTGGCGATCTCTCTCCTCAATGACGCCATCTTGGTACAGGTGTTCAACAAGCCCTGTACTCCTCGGGTCTGTCAGGTTGTTGACCAGGTAGACATACTGCCGTCGGATTTTCTTCTTTTGATCTTCATTCATGATGACTCTGAAATACATAATGAAAACTTGCAGAACATACACGTTATACCCACATAAAACTTCATAGTTTTATATAAAGGTACATACATGTACGAACCGAGCATCGGTGGAGCGTGGATTCCCAGTAACACATGTAAACCACTTCTACTAGAGTCTTATATGACTCAAATAAATTCAACATGCCAAGGGATAAACTGAATAGATCACTCGATCAGCCATAAAAGACCTTTAGATTGCTCCTTTCTTTAAATTTTTGGTTGTAAATTTAACCTACTTTCGTGACCTACTTTCCTGCCCCATTGACATACAGCTTAGAATGCCAGCAGAAAAATCCATTCAAACATCATTTTCGGGTGAAATTAAACAATGCTTTTTGGTAATTCTCTTAGTTATACTACTTGAAACTACAGGGTTGCTACTTAATATGGAATATTTTTTATCATTGTTATTTTTGAGTACTGATTAAATTTTTTTGGGCTTGAGTCATTAAAAAAGTATGCCACCGAGTAATAAAAACATCCAGTCTTCTGTTGTGAGATATTTTGGTCAATGATATCAAATCTGACATAAGATGCCATTCAAAAGAAAGGAACACCCCCAGAAAACCATATCAACAGTTTAATGTCAGTATTAACTTTAAGCTAAGATATTAAAGTAAATGATAGCCTCCGGACAGTGATATGTTACACAGTCAAAGATCTCACTACAGTAAATCATGAAAAGTCAGTAATTGCGGGTACGACCTTCAGCAGCCGCTTGCAGCGCCCTCATCCTACATGACATACCCTGTGACACGTTTTTTAGAGTTTGGTTTGGGATACCATTCCACGCAGTGATATTTGTCTGTCGCAGTTCATCACTATTTACCGGCCGATGACCATAGCTATTAATTCTGTGAGTTACTTTTGTCCAAAGATTTTCAATTGGGTTCATATCTGGAGAGTTTGCAGGCCAGGGCAGTTGCTGAACCCATTGGTTTTGAAGAAAAACAGGGATTCTGCGGCCTCGATGTGGGGTTGCGCAGTCGTCTTGGTACACAAAGTTGTTCCCGAAGATGGCTCTTACCAATCGAAGCATCGTTTGCTGTAGAATGTCTCTGTAGGAATCCTGGCTGAGGTTGCCTCTTAGAAAAACCAACTGGTTCTGGGCACCGACATGAAATTCTCCTCAAACAGAGACGTTACAACCCCCTGCTTGCACCCTAGGCAGTACACAATCATCGTTTTATGTCCCTCGTACACGTCGGTGGACACGGATTCGACCATCAACCCTAAAAGATCCATATGTGGCCTCATTACTGAAAACGACGTGATTCCAGTGTTTTGGCTGCAAACGCACGTAGTCCCCAGCCCATTGCAGACGTCGCTGTATATGACCTGCTGTTAACAGTGGTTTCCCTACTGGCCTTCGTGCAAAATAACCGGCTTGCAGTAATCACTTGTTCACGATTGACCTTGAAACGGGCGTTTGAATGACATTCTGCCTCTCTTTTCTGAGGACACTGGTTGCCTTTGTACGACCAGCACGGCGTCCTCTAAGGAGAAGGCGATCCTGTCTTCTTGGTGTGATACGCGGACACCCTGGTCGAGGTATTGGAGTAGGTGCCCCTGTTGCAGCATTTCTTTGGAGGACTTTACAAACAGTTCTTGATAAATGTTGAATTACCTGGCAATGGCTGTTCGTTTCTGGACATTTTCTCTGAGAGCAAGAGTCCCATAGTAAGCTGCGTTGCTTAGCTGTCGAACCATATCTTCAATAAGGTACCTGTCAAGTTTCAGTGCGATCCCTTTGTTGCTTCTCTAAACACACTCCAAAGATTGACCAAACCCATGCGTTTTTATACAAGGGCAGAAATTGCCGAAAAGACCACCCCTCACATTTCTGACCACAGAACATGCACTGCATGCATCAATTGCTTCGAGAGTTGTGTGGTAATTAGGTAACACACCTGGCTACTCAGGGAATGACACCTCAGATTTGGATGTAAAGTAGTTAGAGAGAAAATAAATATTTTGTAGAAAATTTACTCGCCAAAAAATAATATTCCATATTAAGTGGTAACCCTGTATATGCTGGCATTTGGTTGGTTTTTGTGACAAAAATTTGACTTTGTATGCATCTTTAACAAATGTCACCCCATTTTTAAAAGATGTTATTCTTAATTTTAAACCTCTGGATCACAACCACTTGATGTCACAAGAGCCTTGTGCTTCTAATATGTGATGCCCTTCTTCAGTCATATCACTCTTATTTGTTTAAAGGAGCAGGCAAATCGGAAAAAAGATCCATATAGTTGTTGAGATGTTATAAGAAACTGGTCTGAAATTATTCATCTTAAATCATCATCATTACCATTAGATGTGTATATTATTTTTTAAGATCGTCTTTTAAGAGCGAAGTGCCAGAATTAAAGACTGATAGATTCCGATGCTCTTTTATTCCATATGCACTTTTAAATTTCCAATAGTATAATGTTGTCTTTTATCCTAAGTACAGTAATTTTAAAGTTGAAGTAGCAGTCTTTTAACTTAGTTTCATTCAAGCAAATATTATTTTATTATCATTATAATGTTCTTAACATTCTATGTACAACTTCAACCCTGGGGTACAATCTTAATAAATTATTATTATTATTATTATAAATTGATTTCGGCTTCACCCCCTACCCTTTCAATTTAACACTCAGCTGTCTTAGACGATGCTTACCGTACGCACAATTCATTTACTGCTCGCGCACCTTTCACCTCCACCACCACCACAACCACCTAACCAGATCAAACCAGTATGGCCATTGCATTATTCGATTTGACCTCAATACAAGGTCTCAAAACGTTTAACTTCAAATTTGCATATGTTTACATGCCAATGCCCTTTCAATTATAACAATACTTTTATTCCTGGAAGTTTTGTGTCGTGATCCCTGCTGGTATATATGAAGTAACTTTTCACTTTCCTGCCTCTGGGAACAGGACGCACCCCCAGATAAGTCATGCAAAGGGTGTTTTGTTTTGGCTTGAATTTTTTTTTTACAATAGCTAGCTTCGTCATTGGTAATACAATCAGGAATATTTTGTGAAAAAATATTTTAGAAGTTGAATAAAGAACTTTGGTTAATCACATTACTTTTGTATCACTTTATGCATTGCGTTATGCCCCTATTTCACACAGACCACGAATCCCACGAATCGCCAGGAATTGACAAATTTCCGGATTCGTGAGATTTTGCCAATTTTCTGGTCTAATTCGACACGCTCTGCGATTCAGTTACGATGCAGGTGCGACAGTATTACGAATATTCGTGGGATTCGGCTGGAATCGCACGAATATTGTCCAGAAATTCACTATGATTTTTTGGAAGCGGGAGTTCGTGGCCAAAACTTTGAACAGCTCAAAATTTTTGCAACGAATTCCCGATTGATCATGAATTGCAAGAACTGACTACGTTTATATACGAATCTGTTAAGAACTTCACGAACTGATTACGATTCAACCACGAATCCTGAAATTTTCCATTCCTGGCCATTCGTGGGATTCGTGGTCTGTGTGAAAAAGGGGCATTAGGGGTGATACTTTTTGGTAGGGGAGTATAGTATGATTACAATAATAGACATATCATATCTGCAAACATTTCTCCAAAAAGCCGCTTAATATGGCGAATTCATGAAATTTCATGGTAGATAATGATAAGTTCGAAAAGTACGCCAACAGAAATGTGCCTGGAGACGTACATACCCCTGCAGTACACGACCCCATCCAGTATGAATAGAGCTAAACCGCCGCTGCTGGGAAAACTACCTGCCAATTGTTTGTTCTAATTACTTTTCCTCAGTTAACCTTAAATGAACAACGAGCCATCTAGCTCTATATAACTTGAGAAATGACATGGTACATACATTGTGGATCATATATTGGTGTAGAACGGACCTGCTCCCGAACACCCCTGGCTGCGTGCCTGGTTATCAAATATACTCTCGATGCATATCTTTTCGTAGCTATGTAAACACCTTAACAATGGCTTCCCATTGCATTGTGGGTTCTTAACCCCAGTTGTCCTCACAACAGGTCATAATCTGTGACGTGGAGGATGTTGTTCTGTGTCACATGTTGGCGGGAAAGCGGGTGAATAAAAATATCAGTAAATATTTTGTCGACGGCATACAAATATTCTTTCCACAAAAGTACGACTCAGGAAATCGATATTTGTTTACAAACACCCGCACTAAGTGAAGCAGGGATATAACGGGTAGGGAAAACATGTCAGTACTGAGTACGCATTTTCAATTTGACCTACATCTGCATATGCATGAGTTCAAGCAGTGATCTATTTTATCCAATCTTTAATCTAGGGCAGACTAGGTCAAACGTGTTACAACAATACAGCCAATGAAACCTGCATTGCATTACTCTTCCCTGTTTTATTTCACAGCGTTAAATCTGTAAAATAGGAATATTTTATGAATGCATATACATAAATGAAAATTATAGATTCAAAGCAGAAACTTTTATTTACTTAAACATATTTATAATGTTCTCCTCAGTAACATAATAACAATATACATTTATATTCTGTACCTTCAGTTGGAAAATCAAAATGCTACATGTACATTTTTCTTAAAAGCTAATATTACGAGCACGTACGGAATAAGAAAAAAAAACTTGTGCACTTTTAACTCCCCTCCAGTACTTTCAATAAATTTAATAATTTATATTTTATACTTTAAGCTTACTTCCAGCAGCATCACCTAGGCCTACATGTACTACTACAGGTTGTCTTGCAGCCACAGTTAGCAGTTAAATAAATCTTTCCAGTGTTGGATCTCAAATAATGTAATTATTACACCCAAAATATCATAATCTCATTTTTGCAACAGAACAGCAGTGTCTTGCAGGGGTTACCACTATACATAGCATACTTGTTGTGCAAAGTTCCAGTATATTTATATTTACATCAACCGTGGAGATATATCTATATACTAGTAGGGGAGACTGGGGCTAGTTGA